AAAGCAGCAGATGAATATTTGCCATCTGTACAGTGTAAGTATTAAAACTGTTTATGATAGATTGCTCCTAAGTCACAGATACAGCAAGTTATTCAGTTACAACCAATCAGAAACCGCCCTTCCACGTTCCTCATTAAATATTTAATACATTTGTACAATCGCAGAAACTTAAAGGGGTCATCGTATACCCATTTTCCACAAGCTGATGTGATTCTTTAGGGTCTTAATGAAAAGTCTATAACAATTTAATTAAAATTTCTCAATGGTAGTGAAAAACAACACCCTTTTTACCCTGTCAAAAACAGCTCTGCACACAGCGACCCGTTTCGGTGCATGTCCCTTTAAATGCTAATGAGCTCTGCTGACCCTCTCTTCCTGCGGTGACCTGCAGTTCTCTGAGAGATGGTAAACTTTAGCTGCATTCATTGTGAAATTTGCTAAATAGCACATTGATTCATAAAAAAAACGTATACTCACTTCTTCTGGAGGTGAAGCTGGATCACAAATGATTCGCACAAACATATGGAGCTTTTCCACTGCATGGTACGGCACGATACGGCTCGGTACGGTTCAATTTTTGGGGGTTTTCCACTGGGTACAGTACCTGGTACCTGGTACTTTTTTTAGTACCACCTCGGTTGGGGTTCCAAGCGAACCGTACCGTTACCAAAACGTGACGTGTAAACTCTGCTGATCACGGATTGGCCGGAGAGAATCGTCACTACCTGCGTCACTGAACTTACGACACAGAGACACAACAGAACCGCTAGATTTAAATCAGCACAGCCAGCGAAGGATCGAACGCAACTGTTTTGAAAGAGCGCACCTTTTCTAACAACCAAAAAGTGGCTATTCCCCCTGTTGCGGAAGTACAGACATTCCTCTCGTTGATAGCAGAGGAGCTCATTATAGGGTGACTGTGTACACACACCGCCAACACACATTTTAGTTCAAACAACATGTAAAAGTGAATTTCGCATCCAATGACCCCTTTAAAGCGTTGCGTTTGCCAGAGGAAAACGATTAAAGGTGTTGAACGGTGGCGGTACAGGCATGAACTGAAGTTATGAAGGGTTTAATTATTTGTTAGTCGATTTACATTGCGACATTTTCATTGGCAAGCAGTTAAAACATGTCGTGTACTAGCTCGCTCTGGTTGTCCAATTGTTATTAACCTTATGAATATGCAAATAAGTAGCAAGTTAACCTCTTGAATTTCACTATTCAGGATTAGAGTATAACACAGGGAACAAGGTAACACAGGATTACAGTTTCTCAGACATTCATTCTGTATTTCCCGTCAAACGTTCAACATTAATGTGCGTGGACTTTATTTATCCCCTGGCTGCTGAGAGGGAGGTTTCGATATTAAATTCATACAGTGGGTTTATGAGTAATGCTGAATCAGGTAAGATGATTCAGGTCACATGGCTCCAGCTCACTGCTGCTTATTGTGTGATTTGTATTATCATAGTGTGCTCTAGATATTATTATAACCCTGCGATATTTGAGCCCAGGCAGGACAGACTCTTTGTGTCTGCTTCTCACGCTTTGAAGTTTGTTGATGACACACTCCTGCCCTGTTTGGGTTCAAATACAAGAACATATCCAGTCCCGGTCTGTTTTTATAGCAGCTTGGTGCGTTTTATATTGTATTTGGATGTAATTCATTTTTAAAAGCACCGAATTGTTTTATTTTCTGACAGCATTTGTGTTAGTTTTTGTCCCTTTTCAGTCTTTGGGAGGAGATCAGGACGTCCATCCACTCTTGTGCTTGTGATGTAGATTTGAGAAATAACTCGAAAATCCATACATTTTTAAGCATGTTTAATCTACGTGCATCTATCTATAGAAACTATCATTAATTACAGTAAAGCTTGATACACTAGAAGCATCTGCATAAGTCTGTTTGTGAAGGTATAATAATAATACAAATCCATAACTCTAGTGCTCCATCTGCTGGGAAAAATGTACTGTATTCCCACTTTCAAGTCCTATATAACAGAAATTGATGGGATATCAACTGCAAACAGTCATTTAACATATTTGAAAACGATAATGTAAAACATTTAATAAGCCTACACTGCAAATCATACATTTTTCAGTTTATTTATTTTTTATCATTTTCACTGGAAAAGTAATATGAACTAACTGGTCTCTTTTAAATAAAATACTAACTTTATAAACTTTATAACTAACTGTATAAAAGCACTAAACTATTACAAAAAAAAAAAAATAATAATAATTTTCAGTATACATCAAATATAAATATTAGATGAAATGCCTAAACTTGACAAATATTAGAAATGTTGCCATGACAAATTGGACAAACTGGAATAAATAAGTCTAACCTTAAGTACTATATTACTAAATATGACTTAAAACTAAAGTTGTACACATATACATACATACAACAAAAATACCAAAATTAAATGAAAAATGAAAAAATAAAAGCTAATTGCATATATGCATATATATATATATATATATATATATATATTATATATAGGATCTACTAAACAAAATTACTATCCCTGTGGCTGTAGAAATATATATATATTTATATATATAATAAGACAGTAAGTATATAGTATACAATACTAAAATAACACTGCATTAGCAAACGTTCCATGATTGTTGGAACACAGTCTGAGATAATCAAATATTTAATCAATATTTCAGACTGTAACCTGGTTTAAAAACAACATAGAGTAGACTTGGTGTAGATTAGAATAGCACAACTTGAGATCATTGTTCTTAAAAAAATTTATTAATGTTGGATGATCATTTAATGCTGGGCCGCTGTGTTAGACTCAGTAAAGCAGAGAGATTAACAGGACAGGCACAAGTTTCAGGAAGAAAGGCACTTACAACAAACACGTCATTTTTCAGAAATGCGGGAAGGAAACATGATCTTATGTTAACAAGCAGAAACTACTGAATAAATTCCTTTCAGAACTGAAGAGGAAATAAGATTCTAATACACGCAGAGAACTACACTGCGAATAAATACATCAAAAAGCACTCACCTTCTACTAATAACATGATTGATACCTGATGTTATTCGTCTGACGAACTACAGTTAGAAAAATAGCATAAATATATAAACCAGTCTTACACACATACAAGACAGCAGATCCACGGACACATCGAGCTCACATACATCTCTATACATTATAAAACTCTTTATGAAAAATAACTCTTTATAAAACACACACACACGGTAAACCCAGATCTGCAAACAAATCCGTCGTTAAGTGCTTCAAATCTCCTTCAGTCTTATGACACATCCGAGCATTTTAAGCAAACTCTGTGTCTACAAAGTACTCTTTTAGCTTCAAAAATATCTGAGATCACTGGTTGATCGTGGCTGATCAGCTTGATTAGATAACCTTTTTGTAGCCTGTCTGTTTATTAAAAATGGCTTTAAAGCAATGTTTCTCCCAAAAACGAAATTATCACGTCTTTCAAATCCCATAGTTTCTTTTTGTTTAACACAAAATTAGATATTTTGACAAATCTTCCCACATCTTCCCACACACGACATGCAGAGAAACACAACAAGAAATCATGGATTTAAAGGGGTCATATGACGATGCTAACAATAACATTATTTTGTGTATTTGGTGTAATGCAATGTTTACGCAGTTTCCAAACACATTATTTTCCACATACTGTACATTATTGTTTCTCCTCTATGCCCCGCCTTTCTGAAACGCGTCGATTTTTACAAAGCTCATCGGTCTGAAAAGCGAGGTGTGCTGTGATTGGCCAGCTTTCCAGTGCGTTGTGATTGGCCGAATACCTCAAGCGTGTGACGGAAATGTTACGCCCCTCACCATATTTGGAAACACACAGCGTCTCCACGACAACAATACTACAGCGAGAATAAAAGTTACGCCTCCTTTCTTTGCGTGAACATCTGGGTGGCGTTTAGGGCTGGGACAATAAATCGATGCATCGCGAATCGAGAAATGATTCTGCATCGATTTTCCGAAGGCATCGCGATGCTCTCTTGAATCGATTCTGAGCTTAGCTTTTAACAGCAGATGGCACTGCGTGCTTTAGAAACAGCCGTATTCTGCTTGCTTCCAGTTCCTTACACACACACCACTGGAACCTAAAATAATCATTCATAAAGTTCGAAAAGGTTGAAGCGAATTACAAGGATGTTCACCGTGGGCTGTTTACGTTAATCTCGCATCATAAAAGCCTCAAAGCTGATGTGCAAGTACATTTAACCCCTTACATTACTCAGCCGAATGCACAAGCGCTCTTCTTCGTAAGCATTTGAGTGTGCGGTTAAAAACTAGCCTAGAGCGCCATCTGCTGTTAAAAACTAAGCTCAGAATCGATTCCAGAGAGAATCACGATGCATTCCGAAAATCTCAGAATCGATCCACGAACCGCGATGCATCGATTTATTGTCCCAGCCCTATAGCGGTGTAATGCAGATCTTCCCACACAGTGATGTAGATTTGTGGGGGCGTGTTTAAATGAGTTTAAATGAGTCTTAACTTTTATAAAGAATATCTCTTTGGGCTTGAGACTTTACTCTTTGCAACTTTAGGGATCTTATCTATTCACGAACAGCTTGTAACACTCCAAAGAGAAAGGAAAACTTGAAATCGCATCATATGACCCCTTTAAGAATTATTTCCTACGACTTATTCATCCACTCCCTCGTTTTAGATAAATTGCTGCTACATTGAACTCATTTGTTTCCTGACTTTGCTTTAAGGGATAGTTCACCCAAAAATGAAAACTCTGTCATCATTTGCTCGCCCTCATGTCGTTTCAAACCTGTACAAGTTTCTTTCTTGTTGAACACAAAGATATTCTGAAGAATGTTGGTAACCAAAATGTAGACGGTAGCCATTGACGGTAGTGTGAAAAAAACACTACCAGTATTCTTCAGAATATCCTCTGTGTTCAAGAAAGAAACTCATACAGGTGTGTAACGACATGAGGGGGAGCAAATGATGACAGACTTTTCAGAATTTGCTTTGATTGGTGGAATTTTCTGTACAGTATCATGGGTAATGTAGTTTTTTCACCAGGGATTCCACCGTTAAGCATGATTATATAAAACATAAGTTGAAATAATGCAAACTGATGGCTTCAACAAAAGCATATACCATCAATTAACAACATCTGAGCGTTAAGTAGATCTCTCTTTAAAGTTATTGTTAAAATGCAGTTTCCCTATGGAGAACATGAATGGCATTTTTGCTTCCCGAACCCGACTGTTGTGCTCTCTAGAATACAGGCTTGACTGTAGTTGCACATTCAGACATGATTACTCAAGTATTCAAGCCTCTATCTAAGCCGCTGTGTGGACAGGACATTTCGAGACTCACTTCTTTAATTAAATGCGGTAGTCAATCCAAAACACTGACATTTCGGGCGACTTGTGTCTTTACGGGTGTTGATGTTGTGGACTCATCAGTGGGAGGAGCTTCGGTCGTTGGCCACATCCTGCAGGCGTCTGAGCAGAGCCGTCTGATTCTCCTGGCAGAGCCTTTTGGCGGGAGACTGCTGCTCTTCCTCCAGGGCGATACTTCGCTTCTCGGTGGGCGTCTCGCCCGTTCGGATCATGCGGTTAATCTCTCGCAGCCTCTGTGGGATAAAGTGAAAAATAGTTAAAGAACTACGTTGCGTGAATCTGAACAGGAATTGTTTTTACGATAATGTATTGTTCTTTTACGTTGGATGGGCTGGAGCTGACGTAGTAGAAGATCTTGTCTCGAGGAGAAATTGGGCTGCTAGTCTTGTGTGGAGAGATGTAGATGGAGTGATTGTGGGACAGGAGCACCCGGCGTGGAGAGCCAATGCGGAGTGACGGATACGGACAGAGGGGAGGAGCTTCAGCCTGCAAACACACACACAGCTGCAGATATAAATCTGAATCAACACTGAACTGACTGGAGCGGAATAATGACACCTGTCTTTTGAGAGCTGCTTTAAAGCAGAATTTGACTTTGTCTTTGAATTCGAAGAAGTTTGCATCATTGATTTAGAAATTTGCATTTTATGAAGTGCTATAGAAATAAAGGTGACCTGACTTGAGACCACAGTAATACAGAAAACAGGCAATAGTTACCCCGTTTTTTGGCGAGTTGCTGGAGTAACGCAGAGCGAACCGTTTGATCTGTTTGATGTAGACGTGGTTGTAGAAACGGATGAGGTCTGCCCTCTCCTCCTCCTGCTCTTGGGGGCCCCCAGGGGCCCGGGTTGGGGTGGATGGGGCACTGCTGGGCTGGGGAATGGGCAGAGTGCTGCTGGAGCGCATGGACACAGGACTGCTCTCACCGCTGGCTGCAGAACAGAAAAACAGGAAGTCATCGTAATGAATTCACAACCTGCAAACGATTTCTGCATTCCTGGGTCCGTTTGGACCTGGTGGTATGTCAGCCTGTAAAAGAGTCATAACAAAAATATTTTTCAACTAAAAACATGCTGTATCTTCTCATTAATGAGTAAATGTGCAACAAAAAAAAAATCAATGTTTTGAATGTTACCATGTTATTACGCTGTTATTACTACATTCACACATTTTTAGTTCTTAAAATAATTGAGTTCATTTTACATGAACTACAACTACAGAAATACCACTGGGATGAAAGAAACCCAATGTATTAAATATGAAAATATGAAATTTGTAAGACTATTCAATCTGAGAATTACCAGTATTAACATTGAAATCAATTAATTCATTTAATGTAATTACTTTGACTTATATCCCATGATTGATCGAAAACAGTCCAAATTTATGAAACCAAAATATATATTTTCTAACAAAACAACATCAATATTACTCTGGGATGGTTTCAAACACAAAATGTAATGTAATAAGGTGTAACTAGGGGTGTGCGATATATACAATTTTGACAAACATTAAACTGTACATTAATTTGCGGGACAAAAACTACTACAAAAGTCTAGAACATGACCAATTACCTATAAATACACCTATTAATGCCTATATAAATACCTATAAATAACTTGTGTTTGATAAATTATGTTTAACCCTCTAAGCGCCAAAGTCACAAAATTGCGACAAGATGTCATACTTCCTAATAGTTCCTAATATGGTGTAATATCTAATTTGTATTCCAACAGTAGATCTCTATCTTTAAGCCCTTTCAAGCCACAAGTTTTGAAACATTGATGTCAAAATCCAGCATTTTTCCAAAAATCCCTGGCCCCTAAAAGGTTAAATACCTTAGTCATGACGTAGATGGCACACATGAGGAGCTGGTCCAGATGTCGGTCCACCATGAGATCGGTGCAGTGCACTAGCGAATACTCAAAACATGTCCAGATTTTCCTGCGCAGATCTGCGCTGATGTCCAATTTAGCACATAAGTCTCTGAGACGTACACTAGCAAGGTGATATACCTGATGGGGGAAAGGGGCATCATTTAGGATTGAATGACATCTATCATATTCAATATTTCGATCATGACAACTCTCTTAACAGTTTAAGCATGTTGATAGATATGACACTGTTAATGCATTTGGCTTTTGGAGGACTTGATTAGCTACACACCCTGCTGCTGCTGGACTTGCTACTGCCAATAGACATGCTGCTGTGAGCTTGTTAGATATGTTGCCGCTGCATAAACAGGCACACATAAATCCAGTAGCAGATGTAGACAGGTGGTGCTGGGGGAGGTGGAGGGTTTCAGAAGAACTGATCTTACTGTACCTTGCGGAAGAACAGGCAGAGGGAGCCGGTCTTCTGTGCTCGTTTAGTGGGTGTTCCCTGCTGAGGGTTCTTCCTGTCCTGTTTGGCAGGGCTTGGGCTGTTCTGCACTGTGCCTGTGGGCATTGCCGTCAGCTGCTGGGCGGTCAAGGTGCCCGTCAGAGTCTGGGCACTGAGCGTTGGTAGAGCCCTCCCACTCTGACCCATCACGCTCACCTGCACCGGGATGAATGTGATGCCACTGCTCTCATTTGCTATTCCTGCAAACAAAGATGTAAAAAAAAAATCTAGATTGTAATTGAAATAAATAATTTGTAAAATATATTCTGTATTTTTACTGTTATAAATGGAAATTAAAACAGAAATATTTCTATATTTTCACAGATCAATAATTGTTGTCATTTAGGGAAATATATTTTATTTTATTTGATCATTTCCTACATGGCCTCTGCTCCTTCTGCCAATGAGATTTCTTTGTCAACATTTAAATAGTCTGGCTCAGTGTTTGCTGTAAGCTGGTCATTATTCTGAAACCCTCCACCTCCCCCAGCACCACCTGTCTAGATCTGCTTAGAGATTTATCTACTATATGCCTATTCATGAAGCAGCAGCATATCTTATGATCTTTTTTTTTTTGAATAAGAAGAATCAATGAAGTTTTTCTGTGGCATCACCTACTGAATAACAGATTCATAAAGGTACTGATGATAAACTGATGATTTTGTAGATAGTTTTGCACCTTGAACAGGTATGGTGACCGTCTGGCCATTGTTTGCTGTGACAGTAGCTGTTGCCATGGTGACCACAGTCTGTCCAGCTGGGATGGGGCTGACCAGAGATGGCTGGGCCACTTTGACAGGTTGAGCAGGCTCAGGGGTTGAATTTCCATCGACAAAGAGGCGGCGACAGGCCGTGCCAGTAGGGGGCGAGCTGTAGCGGTCATGGCGAGATGTAGGGGATGGAGAAACACCTGCAGGAGGAAAATAAACAACATATTAAAATATGAACATTTGGTTTGTTTCAATAAATGTATAGAAATCATCTTGCATTTAGACAAAGTGCTTGTTTCATTCAAAGTAAGTCACCTTTTCCTGCTCCTGTGATATTACTGCTGAACTCACTCTTGTTGGGAGTGTGTGTGCTGCTTCCTGAACTGTCCTCCAGGTGTTGAGGAGGCATTATCTGTAATTAATTTCACACTTAAGTATATATTCTTAAATTATATTATTTATGTACAGTTTTAAAGTATCCTAAAATGTATTTCTTTTTCAAGAGGGATAGCAAATATCACTGATCATGTTTATGTGGTTAAACTCTCTGGAATCACAGCTTTACTGGACTCTCTGTAATTATAGTTTTTCTGGACTCTCTGGAATCACAGCTTTACTGGACTCTCTGGAATCACAGCTTTACTGGACTCTCTGGAATCACAGCTTTACTGGACTCTCTGGAATCACAGCTTTACTGGACTCTCTGGAATCACAGCTTTACTGGACTCTCTGGAATCACAGCTTTACTGGACTCTCTGGAATCACAGCTTTACTGGACTCTCTGGAATCACAGCTTTACTGGACTCTCTGGAATCACAGCTTTACTGGACTCTCTGGAATCACAGCTTTACTGGACTCTCTGGAATCACAGCTTTACTGGACTCTCTGGAATCACAGCTTTACTGGACTCTCTGGAATCACAGCTTTACTGGACTCTCTGGAATCACAGCTTTACTGGACTCTCTGGAATCACAGCTTTACTGGACTCTCTGGAATCACAGCTTTACTGGACTCTCTGGAATCACAGCTTTACTGGACTCTCTGGAATCACAGCTTTACTGGACTCTCTGGAATCACAGCTTTACTGGACTCTCTGGAATCACAGCTTTACTGGACTCTCTGGAATCACAGCTTTACTGGACTCTCTGGAATCACAGCTTTACTGGACTCTCTGGAATCACAGCTTTACTGGACTCTCTGGAATCACAGCTTTACTGGACTCTCTGGAATCACAGCTTTACTGGACTCTCTGGAATCACAGCTTTACTGGACTCTCTGGAATCACAGCTTTACTGGACTCTCTGGAATCACAGCTTTACTGGACTCTCTGGAATCACAGCTTTACTGGACTCTCTGGAATCACAGCTTTACTGGACTCTCTGGAATCACAGCTTTACTGGACTCTCTGGAATCACAGCTTTACTGGACTCTCTGGAATCACAGCTTTACTGGACTCTCTGGAATCACAGCTTTACTGGACTCTCTGGAATCACAGCTTTACTGGACTCTCTGGAATCACAGCTTTACTGGACTCTCTGGAATCACAGCTTTACTGGACTCTCTGGAATCACAGCTTTACTGGACTCTCTGGAATCACAGCTTTACTGGACTCTCTGGAATCACAGCTTTACTGGACTCTCTGGAATCACAGCTTTACTGGACTCTCTGGAATCACAGCTTTACTGGACTCTCTGGAATCACAGCTTTACTGGACTCTCTGGAATCACAGCTTTACTGGACTCTCTGGAATCACAGCTTTACTGGACTCTCTGGAATCACAGCTTTACTGGACTCTCTGGAATCACAGCTTTACTGGACTCTCTGGAATCACAGTTTTCCTGGACTCTTTGGAATCACAGTTTTACCGGACTCTCTGTAATTATAGTTTTACCGGACTCTCTGTAATTATAGTTTTACCGGACTCTCTGGAATTATAGTTTTACTGGACTCTCTGGAATCACAGTTTTACCAGACTCTCTGTAATTATAGTTTTACTGGACTCTCTGGAATCACAGTTTTAATGGACTCTCTGGAATTATAGTTTTACTGGACTCTCTGGAATCACAGTTTTACTGGACTCTTTGGAATCACATTTTTACTGGACTCTCTGGAATCACATTTTTACTGGACTCTCTGGAATCATAGTTTTACTGGACTCTCTGGAATCACAGTTTTACTGGAATATCTGGAATCACAGTTTTACTGGACTCTCTGGATTCACAGTTTTACCGGACTCTCTGTAATTATAGTTTTACCGGACTCTCTGGAATTATAGTTTTACTGGACTCTCTGGAATCACAGTTTTACTGGA